TTCAGAATTCTGAATTTTGAACATGTGTTTCTTTTCCAAGTGAAATGATTACATTGAACAGCACTCATTTTTAAAAACAAGTAATCTAGTTTTAAAAACTAGATGTAGCAGCATTTCCAAATGAACGAGTTAAGCAGAACACAAAGATAAAAACATATAAAAAAGCAATAACACTAAGGGGGGGATTCACAAAATAAGAAAACAATAGTGTTGAATTATCAGAAATAGCTTAATCAGATTAAAATAATTTGAAACTGAGAAAGGTGATTTAAAAATGCACAAATTGTGCGTGTGTATTTCATTAAAAACAACAGACTATCTACATAAATTAAAATGTGCAAGAAACAACACACACGTATTGAGTTTTTTAGATGCAGTAGTGATTTTAAAGCGTGAAAGCAACTCGAAGGAAGAATCTGTAACAATGTTCCATTGTGCACCTAGGATGGAGCAACTGAAAGATGTATCTAGTCCTGTTCCAGTGTCATGCCTGGTGTGTCTCCCCCAAAACAGCAACATGATGAGTTTAGCTAACCACTTACTCTCAGCTGTAAGTAAGCTGCTTTTGTAACAATGCACACCACAGAGGATAGCTCAGGCAGGGCTTTAGGAGAGTCCATGCACTCCAAAAAAAAACAAAAAAAAAAACCTGTAGGTAGAGTTTGTGTGCTCAAGCTTTTCTGTACCTGTACCTGCAATGGAATGGCAACTTCTCCACAAAGTATCCTACCTTCAGGCCATAGACTTCTGGGGATAGGTGCCAACCTTCCCAAAATCTGATGGACAGACAGATGGCTGATTTAACTTGATAGGTATTGATCTTTTTGACCTTAAACATTTATTGTATTTTTTACCAGAGTTTTATTTCACACAAGGTAACACATGTCCGTAAAGAAAGAAGATTCACATTTTCTTTATTTTATTTTTTACAAATTGAATTTGAAAAGATGTTTTGAGCAAATTCAGTTCCATTGGTTTCCTAATCAACATGTTACTGTTCAGTTTGTCTACAACCATGTTCTAAATGTTCCTAACAGAACAGTTTGCACTCTCACACTGCAGGTTTACTTCCTAGAGTACGGAATTCTAGGTTCCTGTTGTTCCTAAAAGCAGAGTGGGAGGATCATCTCTAAGTTATCAGGTTCCTGAGGCAGACAACATTTCTACTTTTAAGACTATGCTTAAACCTTTCCTTTTTCACAAAAAAGCCTATGGTTGAAATGGCTTAGGTTATCCTGAGCTATCTCTGTAGTTATGCTGCTATAGTATTAGTCTGCTGGAGGACACATTGACCACCTTCTCTTTCCTACATTGTCTTACTCCAATTTAGCATTTATTGCTGTTATTACAACTTTTAATTTTATTTTCTCTTTGCTTGTTTGTCCTGTTTGTTTGTTTTTTCTTCCTCATACCTTCATCAGGCCTGGAAATCTTTTTAGCCGTGTCATTTTCCTAGAGGGAGGCATTGGATGAGCTGCTGCTGCCAACAACATGTTCTCCTATGGATTATACACTTTTCCCTGTCATTTAGTGCTTATACATAACTTTAGGCTAAGCTTTTACTATGACTAACTCAGCTATGATGAAACCTAAAAAGCCTCTCTCACTGCTATTAACTGTATTCTTTTGACCATGGAAAGTACTACTGGAGCAATGCTTCATTATTTATTTGTTGTGTGTTTTCACATTACTCTGAAACTTCTCAGTGTTCTGATTAAAATTGGAGGCCTTTCACATTTAGCCTAGTTCTGCTCGAGGTTACTTCTTGTATATGGCAGCTTCCCTTTCCCAATGTCACTACATACATAGAAGGAATTGCTGCAAAATGAAAACAAATTGTGCAAGTCACTCTCCACAGTCACTGCCGCCTCATCCATGAAGATGACGTGCTTCATGTCAGTGTCTCCGGATAATAAACATTTTACCAGTTGGAATATTAAACAATATTTTCATTGCAATATTTATTATCTTTGACCTATTTTGCAGTAGATTCTGAATATATCTGTATGATTAGACTGCATTTACTTTTGTTAGGAAAATGCCTTAAGTCACTCAACTTCAGGTTTTAAATTTTCAAATTATACATTTCCTCTTGTGGTCAAATTGTTCAGTCATTACATCATTTAAAACACTATACCACATGTTTTTCCCCTTGTTAACAAGAGCAACTGGAGGTTTCTGTTGAGCTCAGAAGAGTCATATTTTTAACAAAGGATGAAAAATGAATTTTCAAACAGATGCTACACTGTTTTCTTATGAGTGGGATTATTTCACTTTTACTTTAGGTTACAGCATTAAGTTTCAGTTTTATAGAAATCTCAATTTGGGACAACTTGTGGAACTTAACTGCAAATGTTTACTCCACCTGTTTTTAACCTTTCAACATAACTGATGTAGTAATACAAAGTGACAGGCTTATGTATGAGGTGAATGTTTTTGACCACTTAAAAGCCAAATGCATGTCAATTTTTACGGATTTTTTTTTTTTTTACTTTATCTCAGGAAGTATAGTTTTGACATTATAAACACTAAAGATAGAAAGCAGAGATAGCTTCACCTTTACTTGCACAGTCGGTAAACTTCCACCGTAGAATTACAGATAATCTTTCTTTTGTGGCGTGTAGAAATAAATTAGCAAGGCGTGACTGTAAGCACCTATCATGTTTAATGAGTTACATCAATGGCAAGGTAGTGGCTTTGAGAAGAATGTGTGTGAGTTGGATAAATGTGTGGGAGGGTGTGGGTGAGTTATGTGAAAACATGCAGAAATGCTTAAGATGAGTAAAATCCAATGGAATCCAAAATTCCTTCACTGCCCACCCCAGATCATGTCAACGTTTGGGGGGGGAAACTGTACATTCAAATTAAAAAAGTAGAAAACTACTAGTTTCACCTTAAAAAAATCTAAACATGTAATCTGAGTAGTCAGATCTGGGTTTTCCTTATGAAATTTACATTTAAAGAGATAGCTGGAGGAATAGTGTAATAAGAGGAAGACATGTAGCGACATGTTACCATTGAACATGGCTCATCAGTAAAATTCCTAAGGGCTGAGTCACCTTAGACTCACCTTAACCCTGTTTTTTTTTTTTTTGTAATAATACAACCTGAATACTCATAAAGAAAAAGAAATGTTTGACTGTT